GATCAAGAGAAAAACACGTTCTCTTATGCGAAAGAACTGTTTTCTCTTACTCTGTGTAAGTATACTCGGATCTCTTTGTGGTATAACTAAGGTTTGTAACAATATCACCAAGTCATTTCAGATTTCTTACCTCAGGTACCTTTGGGAATACTAAATATGTCTCGTGACGTGCAAGGTAGATTTTGTTTTCCCTATTAGGGGACTTTAATCGAATGCATTGACATGTAAAAGCAGCAGAGTCGACCGAAAAAGGTCCCAAACCTAACGTGAAGTGCAGTCATCTTTAATATATGCTTGTTAAATTATCTTCAATTAAAAAACCAGTTATAATAATTGTACTACAGTTTCTCTCTGATAACTACAAAAATTATAACGTAGTGACAATGAATGATAGATTGATTTTTTCATGAAATACTCAGAAATGTATATTTATTTAATGCTCATTTATCACATAATTATACTGTATGGGCAGCCTTATCCTAGCTGCGAACCTTGTTGAATTCTTATCTCAAAAGATAGCATTTTCATGTAAAATTTTGACAGCATCCATGAAATACTATTTGGAGATAAGCTATATTTGAAACCAATTTGTTTGACACACTGCATTATATGTATATACGATTTTATATGTTTATGTACCTCATGTACCATTTACAAGATTTTGATTGAATTAAATGAATTGAACAAATTGTTGTTATTCCGATTAACACTATTTGTGCTCTTTTATTTGTCACTTTTTTATGTTTCAATAAAGGAGAATTTATTCAAAACCTCCTACTTGAGAAAAAGAAACCAATTGCTTCGGCCTTCCACTGGACATTGAAATATATCAACAACAACAGTTACTTCTATTGATTTAATATGTCGACTAGATATAACCTAGTGAACTCAAAGTAAAGAATCTGCTTTTTCTGTTTCTCATTTGAATGTATACTGACTTCAGACAATAAAAGCCAAATAACAGCTAAATTGTATGATAACTGAGATGGCTCGTCAATTTTTCCTTCTTTATTTAGCATATGTTTAGCAATGTTCCGTTTTCAGATACCTTTGGGTTTAAATGTCTTAAAATATTCTCTACTCAAGAGCTTACTCCGAGTACGAACATTTATAAGCCGGGAGATAGGCTTCTGACAGCGAATTGATATTACAGAAATTTCAACAACCTCGCTTAAAGTCAGAATTTGTTATACTTTATGGTCAATCATTGAGTAACATTAGCCCTTTGTTTCTATGTGAGTACGGCACATTCCGTTTTCAAGTTTAATAGAAAGGATTCATGGAAGGGGATTCCTTTTCCTCCTAGGCATCCCACATCTGGAATTTTTGGGGGTCCGTGTCTTATGCTTTTTTCATAGATTGACATTCTGTGTATATCTTAATTAGATCGACCACTAGTATTATTCGTTATCTCCATCTTTTTCATTACAACTCCAAAGAAAAATCTAAGCTGAATACACAAGGAAAAGTGCAGTTTTGCCAATTTGACTTTAATTATATTAAGACATATACCTTGTAAAAGTACGCTTTTAGGTGAAGAAGATTAATTATTTATACCAATAATGAATATCAATATATCTATAGACATCAAATCAAACATATAAAATGTTTTTCATTAAAAGAATTTCTTGATGGATAAATATAAATTGGTACAGCTTTCCGGCATTGTTGGTCCTTCTAATGGTATAAAAAAAAAAGTCCGGGTTTTAAACTAAAATCCGGTCTTAAACTAAATTATCAAAATAATAAGACACAGTGATTTAGAAAAAAAACACAACTCGGTGGATAAAAATCATATATAGCCAATTACAAATCATGGGAGATCCTATATTTTTTATCTAGTCTAATTTTAGACCCACTGTTACTATGTAAGCCCCGCATCTCATGCATAGATGATGTTCAAGTGTGCATTCTCTTTATTTTGTAAGAAGTAAAGACAAAAAACAACAACATGGAATAAGTCTATTGTTTTGCAGTTTAAAATTATTTTTAACATGTAATATTTAAATTTGGTGCCAAATTTACAGACTTCTGTACAATATACAAAATCAGATTCAGAGTTAATAGAAACAGAAAAAAAGATTCATACCACAGCATTAAGTGCAGTTATCCTTTGTAACTCACTCCATGTCCACATGTAACGGATAAATTCGAGATCAGCATTCAAAAAAAGAAGAAAAAAGAAAAACGAAAAGAAAAAAGTCTTAAGTCTTTATTCTATATTCTGTTACAGGCAGTCAATTATTTACATCCTTTTCCTATTATGTCTGGAAAAAAAAGGGAAAAATAATCAAAATCAGATTTAATCTGCATATTTTTATCTTTTTATGACAGAAGTTTAAACCACTGATATGACACGATCAATAAAAATTCTATACTGATAAATTTTACTGGAGATTATTTGCTTTACTTTATATTGTACCCGAGAATGTACTTGTATTTTGTCATTTTTGTTGTTTTTGTAATTTTCAATGCGTGGTATAATTATTGATACACGTATTGGTATTTGCTATTTATACATGTATCTATATGCTACAATACATTTTTATCAAGAAATGTAATACATTATACTTGAATGTCTCAAAAGCAAGAACAGATTATAGAACTAACGCTTTATTGGCCCATATTTACAACAATATGAGCTGCATTTTCGAAAATTTTCAAAACAAATGTGTTATTATGATAAATTTGTATGTAACTTTTGATTCAGTCGAAGCTTAGTTCTCCCATCGCAAATATGAACAACAGAATAGTTATAATAGTTAGTTATTAAGTAATATAATAGTTAAAATAGTTATTAACAATTTTGCAACAAAAAAATCCGACATCAAAGTTGCAGTTCATATTACTTTAATATCTTATACTATAAAGCACAATTTGCATCAAGAAAAGAGGTTTAAAGAAAATTGTTAAACGATTTTTTTTTTGTATTCATAAACTTGTCCGACTTAAAATTTCTAAAATGATGAACGTGTATTTAATACAAACCTCATTCCATCTATTTCTAACTGACACTGTCATAGAAAGCCTCATTGCTGCTAGCCAAAGAGGCAATCAACGCAGGAGCGAATATTGCAAGAAGAACAACTGCGAAATGAAAGAGAGAAAACATGATAAAATAATTTTTTCAAGGTCATTGTATTTCAAAAGAATCAGTCTTAGATTGATTACTTACAAATGATTATGATTGGAATTATTGATCCAGCGTTGGATCCGCCACCCACACCGACACCAAAAGGTTGTGCAGCAGCATAGGTTACGTAATATGGCTGTTGTGCTTGGTAAATTAACTGTCTTGGTTGATAGTAATATTGTCTATAGGCGCCCCAATGGTTATGTCCATACCCCCCAGCAGAAACACAGGCAAATACCCCAAACAGAATCAATATGCTTAGGGTGACTTTCACTATAAATCAATTTATTTTCAATTAATTCATTCTATTATTAAGAGAAATGTTCAAAAAAAAAACAAATAAGCTGTTTTAATCAGTGAGAATTTTTTAAAGTTTTTATTTTTTAAAGATGTTAAATAACCATATGAACGTATGACAGGGAACTCAAACTGAAAAAAAATAATGAAATTATGGTATGATTGAAAATCAAGAAATTTTCTTACTTTTGATATTTGAATCAAGGAGGACAAAAATCCAAGATCCTATATGTGTTTAAACTGAACACCGACGGCTTTTATAAAGTCACGATTAGTTTGCACTCCCCGTAAGAGCAAATAACCAATTAAAACATTCCTTTCTTCACTATACAGCATGATATTGTACATGTATGATATTTTGCTGAACAAGTAAACCATAATAAATCACATGTCAATGCAATAAGGAAAAGGGAATTTCAGCTTGGTGCAAATTGTTACCCGTTGGATAATGAACAACCAATACACCTATCCTGTTAATACCCACTTATTTTTTATGTGAGATATTGGATTTTTATTTGGAATTCTGGTGAAAGTGTTTAGTCTGTACATGAATTTTAAAATTACGGGACTGGAAAGAGGCAGATTTATTATTTAATAGAAATAAAAATATATAACCTTTGAAGCACATGACATTATAATGGCTATATTTTCTATACAGTGATTTTATAATTAGGAAACCAATTTAAATTTTAATCTAAAAGAGAGGGGGCCGATTAAGCTTTTTATACATGTTATTCTGTAATCAAAAGTTACATTGTCATTGACATCTATCACAGGTTAAGACATCTTCTGTATGCAAGGTGGGAGGTCTGATAAAGAAATTTATGCAAAATTCGCGACATAGAACGGGTCAATTAAATGTATTTCAAATGAATTATCCCCAGCTCATCAAAAGGAGGAAAGAAATCATATAATGTTTACATATAAACTTGATTAAAACAAAGATTATTTTCTCATCATTCAACATTTCTAGCTTGTAATAAATAGAAAATAGATAGAAAAATAAATTTATATCAGAGAAAAATATATAGAGCCATAAATAAAGAAAAATACAGTGAACCAAACTTCGAAGTGTTCACCTATCATTTTTTAACTTTTAAAGAACAAATGCATACAATAAATACTTTATTTAATTCATGGTTAATGATGCATATTTAAGTTCGATGTTGCATAAAGTTCATGTAAGTATCACGTCAGAGTTTTAAGCAAATAGTCAAGGAAATGGTGTACCCTCAAAATGAAAATTCACACAAAATAATCTCTATGGAGTAAGACCATCACTCGCTCTAATTTCTGCAAGACATACTTTACTGTTGGATACCATGTACCCCAGAATAGAAGATTGACCCATCTGCTGCAACACCTACTGCACAGATCTTTCCAAACCGTTGAAATTGTTTGGAAGAGGGGGGGGGTGGCTTTGACATTCCTTTTAAAAATCCCAGACCATGTTCAATGGGATTCAGATCCGGGGATATGACAGTGCATCATCACACAGAGGCCTTTAGTCAATATCCTTGGGCGTTTAGCACGTAAGGGCGCCGCTTTAAGGATGATTCAGGCTGCTTGAGATGATATTAGGCTGTCACGAGCACCGATTTCTTTTCATTTTCATACGATTGAAAGTGTTTGTTTTCATGTTTAAAAGATTGTTTCAGAACAATTTATCACTCTTTTAACCTGGTGTGACGCGAAATTTTGGCCTCAGACGAAGATCAAGGTCACTTCCGGTTTGGTTAAATTTTGTCCAAAGCTTTCAAATTGTGATAAATTGGCGATGAAAATGACGCACAACCTATAGAAAAATGTGTTTAAATGGGTTTTGATACTGCTTCTTAATTTTAAACGTAATATCTAGAACAACCAAAAACTAAAATAAAAGTGAGTAAAACGTGGTGCAAGGATGATCCAGATATCAACATTCCAACGGCTCTCCCTTCTTTCTCAATGGTTATTTTGCCAATGCTTTGTGTTTTTAGTGAGACCATTTATTAAAATCCTATAATGATCATAAAAGATTTTAATTACACAAAACACGTGCCGCAAAGTACAGATTTATTGTTTTTAAGCTTCGTCACGGAACATTGATTTTCATCGGTGATATTTGATTTTCTTACAAGATTTGTTGAGAAGACTCATTTGTTGTAATAATTTGAAAATATCATACCATTCTATAAAGTAGTTTTTAAATAAATACAATTATTACAGTGAACACTTAGAAGTTTTGTTAAGGTATGTCACTCGTGAAATTTGTTAAATCAAGGATTTTTTGAGAAGTATATTTTGGATAAGTACTCATATAGTGAGACTCAAAATCGCAGAGAAAATAGGGGGTCAGTGTGCATCTTACTAAGCTACGGTACAATAAAGTTGACCTTTTTGCACTTAAATTTTAACTCTTTGGTTAATTACTTTAACCTTTATCATATTTTATCAGATGTAACCATGCCAATAAATATAATTTTATTTTACGTAAAATAGTTTGAATAATATTTGTCATTGAACAAATCTTGCAAACTAATGCGAGTAAATTATTGTTTGACCTTTTTGCACTTAAAAGTAGCATATTTGGGGTATTAAAAAACTAAATGAGCAATAAAACATTTTCTTAAATCAAGCTTTTTACGACTAAAGTGCTGATTATTCACAAGTATAGAGTACTTTAAAATAATGAAAGAAAAAGTTGTGGTCGGTGATGTTAATTTTGAAATATTGGTCAAAATATGTGACTTTCAGGCGAAAAATGGTACAAATTTTATCCTGACTTACTTGACATATTTTCATGTTTTGGCAAAGTTTGTTGAAGGAAGGTGTGAAACTTGTTCTAAAAATATAGATAAAACCTATATTAAATATTCCTAGCAATATCAGAACGAAAAATATTTTTCGAGTAAAGTTTCTGAGGCCAAAGTTCCAAGATACTAAATTTAATAAATGTAATGTGCAGATTTGCTGAATTATCTGCTAAATATCCTTCCACTACAAGAAATAGTCCCTCATAAATCTTGCTTCTTTGTAGCTTTTTGAGCAGTTTTTTCGTTGAATGTTAAAACATTAACATTGTTGAATTTAAATATATTATAAAAATTGATTTTTAATAAATAGTTTTGAAGTAAGAGGTTCTGTGTGAACTTTTCTAAAAAGCTGACGAGTGACATACCTTAAGTATACATACTGTATTACATGTAATACTTAATATAAAACAGAAGGAGAATGAGAATAATCATTTAAAAAATCTTTCTCTCAACAATAGCAAATTAAAGTCAAGATTTAGTAAAAGAAAAAAAAAGATGCCTACAGATTTATCAAATTTGAAAAATAAATTCATTTAAAGATGCTTTATAGCTTTAGCTTGCCCAAATAATGGGATAAGGATCATAATTTGTAGTTAAACAAGATGAAAAACCATATTTTAAACTGTCATTTTCAATGAAAAAATTAAAAAAACCCAGTCATGAAGATGGTAGGTTTTTTTCATATGCAACGAAGGAAATGTATCCAGATTGCCTACAGTCTCTCAGATAACGGTAATTTGTAGGTCAAAAGTCCATTAAACAATACAAAATCAGATCAGATGCCATGGAGGAGAAAGCACCCCTTGTTGATCGGTCACACCCACCGTATGCTCCTTGTCACGATCAGGAAACAGCGAAAAAATCTGTCGACAATTCAGGGTGCAAACAATGGCCTAAAACCAGTGAGAAAAACGCCAGTCAGCATTTGACGTAATAGTAACTTGTATATGCTGACAAGGCCATTGCATCGACCATAGAACTTACAGACTTAAAACCAGACTGCTAATATTCTTGTTTCAGCTACTTATACGTCACTAACTTACCTCTTTTTAAAAATTGTTCATACGTTGAGGATGCTCTTGCGTATCGAATCAATTGCGAGATATAAACCCCGAATGCAGGTGATGAAGGTATAGTGCTGCATAAGTAAGGGAAGTTGACGATGGAAAAGTTAAAGTCATCTCGTTTGTCATAAAGCTTGGTTGTTCGATTACCATTAACGTTTTTCTCAAGTGAGAAATCTAAACATGAAACAGATGTGTCAGAATCCTTGGTATCTTTTAATTCAAGCTCACCGAGATATATCGTATCGACATAAGATTGGAAATAACCATTGTTAATTTACAATACGTCGTCGATATATCTAAATGTCGAGTTGAAGTTCACAGCGAGTGCTTTCTTCTTTTCACGTATATGATTTTGGACGAAATTCTGCTTCATTAGACCTGTGCTAATAATTGGGCGCCATTGGACCTGTAGGATTTCCAATAGATTTTTGGAAGACGTGGTCTCCAAAAACCACATCAATAATGTCAATAAGAAACTCAAGCACCATCTGTTAATTATCATCTTCAGAGTACTTGTGTGTACTAGCACAATGTTTTTTAAAAAACATAATTTTGCAAAAGACCAATGACAAGGTAAGTAAATTTACGAGTTTTTATTGAAAAAGTAGCTGTCAGTGTGTTATCAAAGAGTATAGACTTTAATCTATCGTGGGGAATAGTTGTATTTTAAGTTGAAAAGTCTTAAGTTTTAAGTTGTTCATTTTGGAATTTTTTTAGCTCCTCGAATACTAGTATACTGTTGAACAGTACTCTTGAAGTTTGTCTTTCACTATTGTCAATAGCTTGAAAAATATCATTTCAAACCAACGCTACAACTGAACAAGTTAAGCAGAGAATACAAGTAATTGAATTAAAAGTGTACAATTTAGAAAACAAGCTTGATGAGGTAGCAAAATTAACAGCACAGAAAACTTCACAGGAAAAGGAAAGTACGGGGAAGTAAAAGATCAGGCAGACACAATCAAGGTTCGTAATGTTTCCTGTGATGATGAGATTAGTTACGACCAATGAGGCGGAACCAGGTATCTCCGACTCAACCCACTGAAGCTCAATTGCACGAGACTTCAAACGAAAACTTATCTACAAATACAGTAATACCAAAGTTACAACCCTCAGAGACAAAACTATTTATAGGGCAATGAAATTCTTAGAGGAGGGAAAAGTGATCGAAAGCTCAAGTTATTACATTTCAGATTGGATCCAATGATCTTGAATATAAAGATCCAGATGATGTTTTTTAAGATTTTGAAGACTTGATACTGAAGACACAACAACTTCTACAGAGTAATAGTTGTAAATGAAATAATATGTTTTACACCGTTGGGGCGAAGTTTATTTACATCATAAACCTACACATGTACTGTCTATCATTCAAGAAAAAGAAAGCAAAAAGAATAAAACAAAACAATAAAAAGAAATCATTTCCCATAG